GGCAAAGATCAAGTGTTAATAAAATTCTTTCGATAAATAAAAACTTTAAACCTAAATAAAATACATACTCGCCAAATTGTATTTACGCCTCTATTCAAGCCTTGAAATTGATGTAGCACAAGAATTCTGGTCTTCTAGCGACAAACTCGCTGTTTTCAAACTCAACAGTATGCATTGTATGACCTTTATTTTGAATTTACATGCTAAAAATACATGTACAATAGTAAACTTTATGTTCATCGCTCATGTGTCTTATTAGTTAAACTCTATAATATTTACATAATATTTTCTTATTAGCTACAGTGATCAGCACTATTTAAATTCTATCAAATAGACCTCTGTTTACTTATTATACATACATTCGTAGAATCTTTTAAAATAAACCTTTTCACCTTGTACTTCGTCAACTGTTCTGTGCTTTATAGGTTTCTATTCTTCTAATTTGTAAATTGTAGATATAACAAAATTTAAATAAAATATGCATGGACAATATTACATGTGATTTAGCAGGAATTATTATTTTGTTTTTTTAATAAGATATGGCTTAGGGTAGATTATAAAAAGCTTCTTTTGTTTCAAAATTTTTTTTAATCTATGCAATACATTTAACCATATTCAGTAAGTATGAAAATGTTATCGTTGGTTTCTATTTAATTGAATTTTGATTAATTTATGCTATCGCAGCTACAGAGCCTAACCACAACGGGTCCTTGCACTGCTATCGTAGTTGCGGTGCTTAATCACTAAAAATAAGGTTCTTGCGCTGCCAGCTATAAAGCCTAATCACAACATAAGTTCCTTGCATTGCTATCGCAGCCACGGGAGCCTAATTACAATATGAAGTCCTTGTACTAACATGAGGTTCTTGTACTCCTGCAACAGCCATAGAGCCTAATCACAACATAAGATCCTTGCATTGCTATTGCATCCATGGAGCCTAATCACAACGTGAGATCCTTGAACTGTTATCATAGCTACGGTGCTTAATCACCAAACATGAAGCTCTTGCACTGCCTGCGGCTGCTATAGAGCCTAATCACAACATGGGTTCTTGCATTGCTATAGCAGCCACGGAGCCTAATCTCCTTGTACTGTTTTTGTAGTTGCGGAGCTTAATCATCAAACATGAGGTTCTTCACTGCCCGTAGCAGCCATAGAGCCTAATCATAACATGAGGTCCTTGCATTGTTACTGCAGCCACAGAGCCTAATCACAACGTGAGATCCTTGTATTGCTATTATAGTTGTGAACCTTATAAAAAAAAAAGTCAAAATTCTATTCAGATCTTGTTCAGATTATTATTTTAAAAATCCGAACAAAATCTGAAAAAAAATTTTTTTTATGGGGGGCTCAATCACCAAACATGAGGTTCTTGCATTGCCTGTGGCAGACATAGAGCCTAATCACAACATGAGGTCCTTGCATTGCTATCACAGCCATGAAGCTTAATCATAACATGGGATCCTTGTACGTACTGCATATAGTGTTCTCGGCATTAGGGTCCTTGGCATGCCAAATTTTTTTATCATGCCGAGAACCCTAACTGCATAATACAATATCAGGTATAGTACACTTGTCTCTAACTCCCTCTAAGCAACTCAAGCGCCTAGTTACTATGATAAATTAAAAATCTTACATAGTAGGCCAATCATATAGCGCTGCACTATTTACCCCGTTCCCCCTTTTCTGCAGCACCTAATCTAGTAATTTGGGCTGAGGCATATTACGTACGTCTCTAGTGTGACATTGGATGGCAAAATACTGTATTGCTTTTTTGTTAACGTGCACAAAGTTAAGCTATGATTGTTTTGTGTTGTTTATTTTTTATTTTTTATTTATTTTTCTTATCTAAGTGACTATGCATATAATATTGTATAGCTATGTGTTACGATGATTCTTACACTCGCTTGACAATAGGCGTATCATTCAAGTACATCCACCTCGATTGCGTCATACAGCGACGAAGCAAAGACACTAATAATACAGTTTATTACTAAACCCGGCAGAACCAGTTCCTCGACAATTATTTTATCGAAAATTATTACAATTATTTCATCGACAAATTCTTTACCTACAAAATCATTTCACCGACAATCATTTCACTGACAATTATTTCACCGACAATCATGGTTGTCGGTGAAATGATTTTCTGGTAGAAGGATTGTCGATGAAATAATTGTCGCAGTCGATAAAATGATACAAACCCCTTACAGACATTTAACGCCCTTTAATACGGATTCATTGCAATTACATGATTATTGACCAGACACATTATTTCCCGGTTGCATGCATCAGATTAACACTTTTTATTTATTCAAAAGATCATACATTACACATAATGAAATCCCTACGCAAACATATCTTCCTACGACCAACCTATCGCTATTATTCCTTTCTTGATATAAAGTTAGAACTATCGCTTTTTCTAAATTATACCCACAACGAACATGCCTAATTTGGCAATATCGAAGAATTATCACATTTATCATTGAATATTTGCTATTAACTTTTTTAATTTTAATATTTTTTAGTTTAAATAAATCTTATATCAAATCAATTTCTTCTCAGATTCAAGAAGCTAATACTAATATTGGTAATATTAGCAATATTATAGTTTTCGTTGACGGCGATCAACATGCAAACAGCTTGCAGGCTATTTATTGTAATTTACATAGAAAAGCTGAAAATGTATATACACATGTAATAGTTACTGGTCGTGGAATAAGTGGTGGAGAATTAATAAAGTCCAATTCACTATTGCCAAATTGTAATGTACCTGTATATGATCTAGAGCTTCAAAAAGGCAAAAAAAATATCTTAATATCAATTATCAAAGAAATAAGTGGTATGTTGGATGAAATTCGACCGGATGTTTTGATTTATATAAATGATCCTAAGAATGAAGCGATACGTGGAGTTGACGCCGCATTTGTTGCTGCTTCTCAGATGAATAGTACCATTACTAAGATTGCAATACCTATTGAACACACGAAACATATGTTATGGTTAACTGATTTATCTATAGAGGCGCTTAAAAGTATGTGTTACTATTAATAGCTGTTTTTCAGTTCATTTTTTCTATCATTTATGTTTTTTATATCTAATTTATTATATCATAGACTGGAACATTCCAAACATTCAAATACAAGTAATTACTCAAGATCGTCCTCTTTCTCTATCACGTCTTATGCAATCTCTCAGTTCGTCTATTTATTTTGGTGATAATGTACATCTCACTATAAACATGGATCGAGGTGCAAATCCTGTCACTGTTGAATATTGTCAAACATTTAAGTGGCCTTTTGGTCAAAAGAACGTTCGATACCGCGTGATTCAAGGTGGCTTGGTAGCTGCCGTAGCAGAATCTTATTATCCTACTACCAATGATGATTACGCTATAATTTTAGAAGATGATATTGAAGTTTCTCCATTCTACTATATATGGGCAAAATATACCGTCTTAAAATATAGATATGGTACTGATCGAAGCTTTGTCGGTAGAATGTTTGGTATCAGTCTTTACAATATACGAATCAGCGAACTGAATATGACTGGTCGTAAACCGTTTAATGCTGCTAAAGTTTTACAAGACACAAAATATCCTAATCAATCTCCATATCTTAGTCAAGTACCTTGTAGTTGGGGTGCTTTATTTTTTCCTGAAATATGGCGTGAATTCCATTACTATCTGGATGCTAGGTTAGCTGACGTTTCTGGTCCTCAACTACAGCAAATAGTTGTTCCAGAATCTAGATCAATTCGATGGTCAAGATCTTGGAAACGTTATTTTATAGAGCTTATATACCTTCGTGGTTATTTGATGCTTTATCCTAATTATAAAAACTTTACCAGCTTTTCTACTAATCATGCAGAGAAGGGTGTTCACTTTAAAGGAAAAAAACAAACGGCATTGCTCCTTCCATTAATGGAAGAAGATTCTATATTGGAAGGGCTACCTGACAGTCATTTACCAAATTTTGAGGATTTACCAACTATGGACCTTTGGGGAACTGTTGTACCACCAAAAGAAATAATTCAACGTGGTCGTGAACTACACTCAAAAATTTCACGTTGTCCTCCCAACAACCTTGATGAACTATCTTATGACTCCCGAGACTTATTATGTGTGAATAGTCAAACATTTGTTATGATGGAAGATAAATGAATTAAAATAATCAAGGGAGAAATCCTGCTAAAAGCTAAAATGGAGAAGATAATATAATACCTTCTGTTAATAACAAAAAAAACATATACATTTATTAAAAAAGAATATACAGTAAATTTTTGTTACCTTCTTGATTAACCGTAAAAGTTTATCAATTGAATAAATTATAATTATAAAAGGCATTGTATAGCTATTACAATTCAAGAGATGCAAATAAAATAAAAAAAATCAATTTCCTAATTTTTGAATCGAATTTGTAATAGATCATATTAATAAGTTTCTGATTTTTTTTTAAATTTTGGTCGAAGATATCTCGACACTCATCTGACCAAATTCAATGAAATTTTTTTTATTTTAATTATAAAATTCAATGGAATTCGAATAAAAAAAAGAACATCAAATTTGGTCGGGTTGGTGTCAAGATATCTTCGATCAAAGATTTGTAAATTTAGACGTCTATCAAATAGAAACAGTTGAAGATTGTTTTCGAAGATATCTCGACACCCATTAGACCAAATTTGAAGAGCATTTTTTTATTCAAAATTCTAGTGGTTTTATAATTGAAAAAAAGTTCATCGTATTTGGTTAGGTAATTATCGAGAGATCTTTAGTAAAATTTGGACATTGTTAGCGGCAAAACCGCAACTCCCGTGATATCACCAGACCTGGGAGAATGAATGAAAAAAAATAAATAAATAAAAAACTGTATCACGCGCGCCAGACAGGTCTTGCCCCAAAGAGAGACAGAATAGGCAAAGCCTCCCCAAAGAAGTTCGAATTAGTCAATCGCCACCTAAGCCATCTGGAGAAGATCGTGGCCAAATTGCGGCTAAATTGTGGCTGCAAGGATTCCAAGACCACGGTAAGCCGAAAAATGAAGATTGGGCATATGGAATAAGCCCGTGGAAGGTCATCTTCCCGTGAATGACAAACCAAGCAGAGTCGAATAAGGGTGATGATCCGACGATTGTACGCGGGTAAAAAGTAAAATGGGCGAGAGGCGTGGTAGTGTCTGACGTTATCGTGGGGGAGAAAGGTGGATAGAAAGATGCATAGAACATCCTAGTAATGACGCAAAAGGTGAGACTCTGTATTCTCTGCCTTTTTTTGTTTTTTAATCCATGTTCTGTTTTATATAAATAGAGTAGCAATTGGCATCGTTTGTAAAGGCATTGAAGTTTGCCTTCAAAAAAATAATAATAATAATAAAAGATACGATTTAAAAATAAACTTGATACCTTCCTCTCGCTTTAAAAGTCATTCTTTTGTCCATGTTCATACACAAAACAAACCAATTCGCCTTGCCCTGCCAAATCTCTTTCGCATCCCTCTTGTTTTGATTTGTTATGTGGTTGTGATTATCCCGATTCATTTCGTTTCTTCCGATTGGCCTCCAACATCTATCAAATAGAAACTGCGTTGAGGATTGTTTTTAACTTTTGATCAAGATATCTCGACACCCACCAGACCAAATTCAATGACTTTTTTTTTTATTCAAATTCTGGCGATTTCTACAATTAAAAGAAAAAAAAAAAGCTCATCAAATTTGGTTATTTGGGTGTCGAGATATCTTCGGTCAAAGTTTAAAAAAAAAAAAATTAGAAAATTATTGAAATGATCTACATTAACAGGGGTGTGGCATTGTCAAAAAGGGTGTGGAAATAACAATTCCATTTTTTTCTATTAAATATATTATAAGGATCGTTGACTATGTTCTGATACGTATTGCTATAATCGACAACAATTTCGTCAACTGCTATTTTTGTTGACAAATTTGCTCGATTTAGGTTAGTTGAACTGTTTTATAGTCAGGTAGATCGTCGGCGAAATGGTTGTCGGTGAATTATAACTAGGCAACAGCACGCACAGCTATCTTATTGTATATTATTCTCTCTCATATTTAACTTTATAGTCATTGCAAATGGTTGTAGTGCCGGGCCAAACACGAAGAGCCAATTCGTAATCGGGCAGTGAAGAGGTCGCGAAGACAGCATTCCAGATCAACAATCTACGTCTACATACATACTGTAACTTTTAAAGGGGATGACTTATTTTATATACCGACCTAACTCTAATAGTTACGAGAAAAGGGTTCGTAAAAGCAATAAGGAAGTACGAATTTGGGCGTAACATCTATGGGAAGCGTTAGAAATGGTAAAGTAGACAATTATATAAATCACGTGAACGGGATTCGTAACGAAGAATATATATATTTTTTATAAAGAGTTTAATATTCGGAGTCAGCAGTATAATGGGCTATTCAGCTTTCACTAGCTTACTCCCTTTATAGTTTTTAGTAAAACCGAGAGGAAAACTCTACCTTTATTTAAGTGAAATTTCTTTACTTATATACATTTAGATTTACTATTACACGTAAGAACTTCCGCGCTAAACGTGCTATCTAGATCTTTCTAATATAATAAATTTTTAACAAAGCATACAACGATTAGATGTTATCTTATGGATTAGCACGTTTAGCGTACTATACTAATTAGCTAAAAAAAGATCATATAGAAATTACTAGATAAACCAGGTTTCCTCCTCGAAATTGTCCGTCAATACTGATTTGACCCAAAGATAGTAACCAGCTCTTTGCCCGTGCCTTCGTCACAGGAATTTTTTCGAAAATCGTTCATTACGTTAAAAAATTCCATTACAGAACTTGCTTCGGGTAGTCGAAGTATGTGTTAAGTTATTTCATCGGAATTATCGTGACTCTATCTTCTATAATAAGCTACAGTAAAACTTACTTGCTATTCCAGTGACAATAGTTCGTAGTTAAGGTTGAATTATATTAGAATTATTGTAATTTCCCTTATGAGTTGCTGCAAGAAATTCTGTTACTAAACTCACTCGCCATTCCGATAATCAAAATATAGTGTGTTGATTTTGTATTGGAATTATAGAAATTACTATTAAGAGTTGCTTTAAAATATCCCTTCTGTTACGGAATTTGCTATTCTAGTTAGCATGATATGTGTTTAAGGTCAAGTTAGCTTGCATCGAATTATCGTGACTTCTATCATGAGCTAAAGTAAAACTTACATGCTATTCCAGTGGCAATTTTTTGTAGTTAATGTTGAGTTAATTTGTATCGCAATTACCATCATGAGCTGCTGTAAAAAATTCTGTTACAAAATTTACTTGCCACTCCGGTGGTAAATTAATTTGCATTGGAATTATCAAAATTTTCATCATGAGTTGCTATAAAAAAGAATTCGCTACTCTAGTGAGAAATATTGTAATATACAGTATATAGTTCACTTTTGCATGTTATTAACATTATTCATATCCCAGTTGAGAATAGTAAAGATATGTAAGTTCGCATAATGCGCAAATATAATTCAAAAATTCAAAACCCCGCAGGTACTATGTAAACACTGACGGAAAAAATTTTACATTATTTCCGCAAATTTTTATTAAAATCGTGAGACAAATTCTTATTAATTTTAATATAAAATCTGCGGAAGTAATATAAAATTCTCTCTGTAAATGTATGCCTGATACGTCATACCTACCAGATAACAAGAAATTATCACGATCATATATTAGTAACGGGTCGGCGAACAGTATTCCCTATTTTCACAATTTTGGAATTCGGATACGATCATTATGACGTTTCCGATCGCATTTTAACCCATTATAAAATCTTACATCATACTACATATGTACGTACATACGTACGTACATACGTATGTACAGTAACATAATTATTATGTCATTTCGTAACAAATGTCGTACGTAATTAATTTTTCCACTTGGATCATGTTTCAGATCACATTTCGGATCTAATCCAATCAAAAACATTAAAACCTACAAACCCACGATAGAGAAGATAGATGAAGTTTAATTATACTACGTATCTAAGGAAAAGATAAGGTGATGATGATTTTCATAATGTCACAAAATCCAGGATTTGTGACATACCTATGCATGAGCCAACAAACCTGGGTGATCCTCGCGATAATTGGCAAGTTAGCTACAATAAAGCAAAGCCCGAATTATTATCATAATTATCTCAAAGTAACCTGTAAATAACTAGAAATGTCTTATTGGCATTGACCAATAAAATCTAAAGAGTTTCTTATGTACCATATCGAGAAATTTTTAATTTGTGCTAAAAATAAATATGTCGCATTTCAGAAAAAGTACTTTCGTAGGTAATGTAAAGACTTCGTGTATGGTGATTAAGCTCCACGCTGTCATAGGTAGCGCAAGAACTAGAAGATTTAATAATCTAAGGTTTAAGTTCATGAATATTTACTATTACCGTATTCCTCCAAAATATGCACCCCTTAAAAAACACCCCTACAATTAAAATCTATCGTATAGAATTTTTGTACTAAGTAAATCTATCTTTTGCTTCTAAATAAACTTGTTCTCCAGATTGAGATGTAAACAAAATGTAAATAAACGTTGCCTGAACTTTAAAGAAATATAATAGTATAAAAACTCTATACAATTGATTTTTTCATTCAAAAACAAGCCCTCTATAACAAAAAAGGGGTGCAGGAATACGTTAATTAGTGCATAAGTATGAAGAAAATTTTATTATTCTAAATACTAAAATAAGCTATCTAGGTTCATTAATATTAATTATTTAATTCCTTTGAGGTGCAATTGTGAATGGGAGAACAATTTTATTTAGAAATAAAAAATAGATATACTTAGTACAAAAACTCTATTAGAGTTATTAACCGGGTCGAGTGGCTCGTACGGGTCACAGGTCGAAAATTGCCATAACCCGGGTCAAACGGGTCAGAATTCAAAATATGCAAAAACCTACTAAAATGCAATACAAAAATCGAAAAACTCCAGGTTAAATATTTGGAGTACAGGCTGTTCTCTATACTTTACATCAACTTTTAAGGATTAACATCAAAAACTTTATGAATTTTCGTTTGACACGTTAACCCGGGTCATAACCCGGGCAAGACCTCTAAACTCTATACGATTGATTTTTTTTCATTTATCCAAAAACAAGCACCTTTGTAACAAAAAAGGGGTGCAGGAATACGCATTGGTACGAAGAAAAATTTATTATTCTAAATACTTAAAATAAGTTATCCAGGTTCATTAATATTAATCATTTAATTCCTTTTTGTTCGTATTATTTTAATGCATAAGTTTACTAATCAAATACCGGTTATCTGTTACGTACGTACGCACGTACAAACCTTATATTAATTTAGCTTTTTACAGTAATTCCCTTAATTCAATTAATAGTACGCAGTTATAAAATTACACAGGCGCATCTTGAAATTAATGAGAGTTTGGAAAATCCTATTTGTTTTTGAAAATTTTTAAAATCGGAAAATGAAATGGGAATGTTCGGAGATCCCCATTTCATGAAATTGGAAATTTTTATAATACTTCGTAAAAAAAAATAAAAAGTAAAAAGTAAAACTTTCATTCAAATTGAAGATAAGATCAGATCCGGATCACTTATTTCAAAATAAATACTCATCAACTTCAATTAGATTTCCGAGTTTTAACTTTGAAACCCCCTAATGAATACGTACTGTTATTTTCTTAGCTGTTTTGAATAAGTATACATAAATATTATGCATAACTCCATTATTGTCTAATTTATATGCTCTATTTCGATTATATCATACAATCAATGCCAAACTAACAAACCTTGCCTTAAATATTAATCGATCATGTATCCCTTAATCCGTATGTAAATTCGGAGCAAATTTGCCCCAAATATTGTAAAATAATTTTTATCCACTCAAACTATAATAAATACTATAAATTGGTTATAACTCAAATAAATTATAAATATTTAATAAATTTATTTACTTTTTACTATAAAAATCTTTAAAACAATTGGATCTTACTTAGAACAAAAAAAGAGGTATATTATATTTAATATACAAAATTGAATTGAGAAATTGCATTACTTTTTTTTATTTTTTTTTTATCTTTATCATGATTTTTAATTGAATAATAGTAGTACAAATATAATTCTTTTTGTTTCTTTTATTTTGCTAAATGATTCTCTAATAAAAATAGCTTACAGATAGATTAAAATTAAAGTGCTTAATATTATTAATAGCTTTTTACTTATTTAAATTTTTAAAAAATGATTTTTAGATGGTTATTAAATCTTACTGTTATCATCTACAGCAAAGATGTATCAACTTAAATGTTACAGTGATGTATGCGTACATGGTGATACAAGCAATAGGGCTATTATAACAGGAGGAAACGTCCAAATATAGATATGATTTTCATTCTCCGTTACACAAATCACTCATTGTATCGACCAGTCAAATATCACTACGGGATTAGTCAACCAATCAAATTGCGAAATTTACAAAAAGATGAAACCGTGGGATTCAAGGGGATTCAAAAAATATGTTGTAAAGCAAAGTGAGAGCTTCATGTTTGTTTAAAAATTTTCAATATTCATATAAAACATAAGTCAAGCGAGCCTTCCAAAAAAGTATTGTAAAATAATATAAAAAAATTTTTTATCAATTGTGTAACAATTTTGTGACGTTTCAACGTTTCCCCCTGTTGGCTATTATTAATAAATTTTGGAGGTGGTACGGAAAATTTTCCGCGAATCAGAAATTCGGGGCAAATTTGCCCCGAATACGGACTAAGGGATAGTCAGACCTTTCTAAATGCAACCCCCTAAATACAATCTCTAAATGGATTGTCAAAAGCCTAGTCACTGCGAGTTAAATTCAATGAAGGCATACATTATACAATATCGCGTATTATTCAAAGTCTCTACTTCATTTTTGCCATTGTACACACCATGTTATTTACAACAAATAAATATCGCATCGAATTTAAAAATAATTGTCTTTTGAACGCACTTATATACTAATATATCAATCCCATCTTCTTATAACCAAGTAATCGAAATTATTCCTTTATAATATTTTTTTTCATCTTCACAAACGAAGCTATAAGTATGGCTTACTCTATACAATATAGAAAACGAAAACGAGACTACTTAATTTGGTTATATCGAAGAATAATTAGAAATACAGAATGTTTATTATTAATATTCTTAATTTCGATAATATTTACTCATTTAAGTAGATATTTTATCAAATCAACCACCTCTCAAATTCAAGGAATCAATGGTAAAAATTGGAATATTATATTTGTCATTGATGATGATCAACATGCAAACAGTTTACAGCCTCTTTATTGTAATCTGCACAGAAAAAGAAAAGCAGAAAATGTATATACCCACATAATAGTTACTGGTCGTGAAATAAGCGGTAGAAAATTAATAAAGTCCAATTCATTATTTCCAAATTGTGATGTACCCGTATATGACCTAAAGCTTCAAAAAGGCAATGAAAATATCATAACATCAGTTATAAATAGTGCGTTGGATCAAATTCAGCCGGAAGTCTTAATTTATATAAATGAACCTAAAAATGAAGTAATGAATGATGTTGACGCTGCACTGGCTACTGTTTCTCAAACGAATAGAAATATTACAAAAATTGCAATACCTATTGAACACACGAAAAATATGATGTGGTTAACTGATTTATCTATAGAGGAGCTTAAAAGTGTGTATTATTATTAAATAGCTCTTTTTATTTTTTTGTTCGTTCTTCTTTCTATCTTTTATGTCTTACCTTTTCCTATTGTTTCACAAACTGGTACATTCCAAAAATTCAAATACAAGTCATTACTCAAGATCGTCCTCTATCTTTATCACATCCGTCGCAATCACTCAATTCGTCTATTTATTTCAGTGATGATGTATCAGATAACGAGATAAATCGAAAATATTGTAATACAAACGAATGTAAATTTTTGTTCACATATAACTTCATAGAGCAAGAAACTCAATCCAATAGACATTTTATCTCTTTTATACAGATCGCACAACAACTTGGCCGCACAGTGGTGTTGACCAATGTTGGAGGATCAGGCATATCTTTACTTAAAAATTTCTCCTTTGACCTATATTATGATGTTGATGGACTAAGTAGAAAATTCCCGAAAGTAAAATTTATTTCACAACACAAATTTCAAAAATGGGCCGAAGAACGATACAATAAACCAGATGTTATACACGTGCTTCTCGAAAATTCCAATATTAATCCAAATTACACAATTCAATATGATACCTCATATTTTGATAAACTTTTAAGAGAATATAGAATGGATAAATTTGATTTGAAATTAAATAATTCGGCAATATTTAAACGAATAAGTATTGGGACTACTGCCAATGATTCAAGAAAGGGACAGGAAAATTATGAACTAAACCAATTTTTAAAAGCTGAATTAGAAAGCAATGCTGAAGTTATGCTGATAACGCATGATGTAATACGCGGCCCAATATTCGAAAGACTCTCACCAATGCCATATGCACGTCATATAACAAATGCGGCTTCAAGACTTGCAAAAAAATTAAAACCGTACATTGCGATTCATTGGCGTATGGAGCAGGGCCAAGAAAATCTTATGCCAAAATGCGCCGAAAGTCTTGTGACTTATATAAGGAATCTTTCATTAACAACTGGAATTAAAAACATTTATTTAGCTACGGATTATCCACTTGCCACATATAATGAAAATAATAAGGCACAGTCATGTACATTTAGTAATATAAATGAAAATCACCATACAGCAATGAAAATTTTACAATCTTCATTTAATGTAAACACTTGGGTATCAACACACGCGTTAGATTACCTTCAATTATATCTTATAAGAAGTGAACAATTACAAGAGGAGCTGAGTGGGGGTGGTATTCAAGGAATCTTTGATAAATTGATTTTGATACATGCTGATTATTTTATAGCCGGTCCTAAAGAATGTTGTAGATTTAAAAGCACTTATACATATAATGTTATGGAAACAAGACAAGAATTGTTTGAAAAAAATGGAACAGTTAAAAACATTATTGATCTCTGGGAACTGTAGTTTAAAACAATAGTATGTAACATGCATTTAGAGAGTTATATAGAATAATAAAGTTCTTTTGGACCAATTATATTAATAAAGTGTCAGGAGCCTAAGTAGTTACCTTAATATTAAAAAATAATAACAATAAATAAGTATAAATATATTAAAGTTAGAACAATTACAAAAAAAAAGATTGAAAACTGAAACTATTTAAAGAAACTTACAAACTTTTTTTTACAAAATACTTAAAAAATATAATAGTATCAGAATTAATAGACTATACAGATTGCTTTAATAGCAAATCTCTTATCTCTATCCCCCCTTTTCAGAATTGACAATCTATACCAACCTCATCCAAAATATAAATATTTTTACTATAATCTTTTTCAAAATATCTTAAAAGATGAGTAGAAACATCTTATTCAAAATCTTCATTTTTAAAAAGCTTCTGGGCCACTAGAAACTAATTATAAATATATTAAACACTCTAGATCCAAAAGCCTTTCTAAACAATTTTTTAATAAATGTCATCAACTTCATATTATTCCATCTGACTAAAAATCCTTTAATATTTTTTTAGTTCTAAAAAAATCTTCAATCAAAATACATAGCTTTTAAAATATTTATTATTTTAATACTACTAGAAAATAAAAAGAACTTTATATAAAGAAGCTTACAAACTAATAAATATATATAAAAAAGAATTTGTTATAGTTTAAAAATAGATAACATATAAATTAATATTTTTTACTAATAAACCCAAGCTTTAAATTGATTAAATTTCAATATATGAATAAATTATCTCTTTTGACACCAAAATCATATGAAGTGACTTTTAAATTTATACAAGGTGTCTTTTAAATTCGTACAAAGTGACTTTCAAATTTGTACAAAAGGACAATTTAATTAGATTATTTAAAACACAATATCTCATAATTTAGTACTTCAATTTTGATTATTTTAGTACTATTAGAATCGCCTTAGTGAGAAGATTCGAATAGTACTAAAAGCATCAAAATTAAATTACTATATCACAAGATATTGTGCTTTAATTAATCTAAATTAAATTGTCCTTTTGTATGAATTTAAAAGTCACTTTGTATGAATTTAAAAGTCATCTTATACGAATTTAAAAGTCATTTTGTACAAATTTAAAAATCACTTTGTATAAATTTGATGTCAAAAGGGATATAACAAAGCTAACTTTTATTCTACAATATATTTTAAAAGTAATTAATATAATTCTATTTTATTTTTAGTTATTATAACCTTTATTAAAAATGTGATTATAATCCTTAGCCTATATAATTAATAAAACAATAATTATTTATACACTAATATTATTAACCTGCTACTTAATCCAAAGTTATATTTATTACTCTAATAGTATAAGAAAAATATACTAAAAACATTATAATATACTATATAGAATTATTAATTTTTAATCAACGATTACTTTTACTAAAAATTTTCAAAAAACTTTTTACTATAAAAAAATACTAATAGCTATTAGACTATAAGATACAAGAAAAGGGACCTTAGGACAGCAAATATTATTTAGAAATAGTTCTCATATGCTATTTGCTAATTTTTTAAAATTTATCACTTACTGTTTCTACAAGCATAGCACTTGTCATTTAGAGATAGTTTTTATACACTATCTGCTAACAAGTTTAGAGTTTATTACTTAGTATTGCACATGCTCTAGTGTGAATATAGTTGATTCTAGTAAAAGAAACACATGCTTTATATTTTGTATACAAGTAGTTTTTTTTCTCTTTACAACACCTCTTTGCCATTCTTACAAAAATTTTGCCAAAAAGTGAGCATTCTAGCTTACTCTTCCAAAAGATCAGCATTGTTTACACTTTTCATTTTTAAACAAACAAAGTAAGATGATATCTACCAGACCAAATTCAATAAACTTCTTTTATTCAAATTCTAATTAAAAGAAAAAAAAAAGTTCATTAAATTTGGTTAGTGAGTGTCAAGATATCCTTGGTCAAAGTTTAAAAAAAAATTAGAAAATTATTAAAATGATCTACATTAATAGGGGTGTGGGTATTATCAAAAAAGAGTATGGAAATGACAATTCTCTTTTTTTTCTATTAAATACTAGTGTAACAGGTGGCAAAAGCACCACCTCACCACCTTATTGTTGTGACATATAGTATTATTGTAATTGAAATTATTTGTAAAAAATCATGCTTCATCATGCATTAATATATAAATAAATTATTATAAAACTTACTACTATTCTGGTAATATATATTATGTATTGAAATTAGCACAAACTCTATTATATACTACTGTAAAAAATACTATTATAGAACTTGTTATTCTGTTAACACACTGAATTGGTTAAAGTTAGGTTCATATCTGATTCTATTTTGCATTATTATAAAAAATTCTGATAAGTATAGAACTTATATGGTTGAGCTACATTGTGCACAACTATAAGAAATTCTATTACAGAACTGACTTAAAACTCTAGTAACACACAATATGTAGAGTTTGTATTGAAATTATTGCTATTTCTACTAAAAAATATTGTTATATAACTTATTTATTCTGTTGACATATAGTAAAGTAGAGGTATTAGGTTAGCGTTAGTTAGAATCATATGTCAGAAAATTAATATCAGGAAAATGTCTTGTTTAAGAAAAGGATTGTTAAAAAAATACAATGCCAAACATATATTTTATCAAAAAAATGTGCTGTAGATGAAATATTATGTCAGAGAAATAAGTTGGCAAGTAAATAACTTTCAAGAAATCATTCTGTAACTGATTTAGTTTTGTATCAAAAATTTTATTATAAAACTTGCTATTTTAATGACATATAGTATATAGTTAAGATTAAGTAAGTAGTATTGGAATTATTATGTTTTCTATTGTGAGTTCACTGTAAAAAATCTGTTACAGAGCTTACTCACTATTCTGATAATATACAGCATGTGGTTAAGATTGAATCAGATTACATCAAAATTATTGTAATTTCTATTAAGTTACTATAAAAATTTTTTTATAGAATTTACTATTCTAATAACATGCGACATATAAAGTTAATTTGTTTAGAATTATTTTGTTTTTTATACAAAGCTTACTTGCTATTCCATTAAGTAGTTAAAGTTGAGTTAGTTTGCAATATAAATATCATAATTGTTTTTCATGAGTTACTTAAAAAATTAAAACTTTGCTATTCTGATAATACATAGCTTGCATTATAATTATTATGATTTTATCATGAGATACAGTGCCGTAAAAGCTCTGTTATATAATTTACTCACTATTTTGGCAATACACAATATATAGTCAAAATTGTGTTAGTTTGCATTAGAATTATAATGATTTTGACTGTAAAAATTATAATACAAGTCTTACTTGTATGTTTGTAACACATTGTATATGTTTATGGTTGGGTTAATGTGCTATGATTTTCATTGCAAGTTACTGTCAAAAATTCCAAAACACAATACTGCAGTATGAAGTTAATGTTAAGTTAATTTGCATTAAAATTATCACTAACTTTATTATAAATTTCTGAAAAAATTCTGTTATGCACCATTCCAGACAAATAAATGTCGGCAAAAAATGTTAGATAAAAAAAATAATAGACCCATACGTGTGTATGTACATATATATGCAGTCAGTAAGAATAGATTTTGACAAATTGAACTATTTTTCAAAAACAGTAAATAGGATAAATTTACCAGGTACGTGACATTACTGTAATAGATAGAAACAGTTATAAATTTTTTAAATTTAAGTTGAAGATGATCAATGCTAGAAGAAAGTAGCAGTGCTATTGAATGATACAGGTTGAGGAGTCGAACTGAATAATTGTAGAATTGGATATTAATATTGTGCCTCATGTTGGCGCTTGCCTCAGATGTCAATTTTTTTGGCCAGCATTAACTAATCGACATTGATTAGTCTAAATTAAGCCCTAATCTTACTCTTACCCTAAACCTATCCTAATTTAGGCCGATCGACATTTGAGGCAAGCATTAATCTGAGGCATATCATTAAATTTTATTGACGATCTTACAAATTTTTGATGATCTTAAACATTCAAGTTGACAGAAGTCAACAGATCCCAAGCAGGGATTAAGCCGAAAGCGATCTGGCCAAGCCCAGAAGCACAGCCACTGACCCTAATCAGTCAAGAAGATAAGTTGATCCCGCGTGAATTAACACATGAAGACAGATAAGTACAAATTATTAAAATTTTAACTAATTGCTTATTCGGGCAACTGTCCAATCACTAAAAAATTAGCCATTGTTAGGATATGACATAAGAAGAAGCATGATCCAGAAATATCTGCATCATCATCCGCAAAAATTAAGTTTCACACCCGTACCCTCTCATCCGTATAGAATCCTGCCATTTTGTGGCAACTTAAAGCTTCAATTCAAGGCCTGCCTGCTTTATGCAGTGTGGAAGACCACCGGCTGATGCTACGCATCGCAATTTCAGCTGATGACGGCGATACCCAGCGCAATTGTGTTTGCTATTTCTGAGATCATATCCCGTCAGTTTACACATCAATCGCACTGATATATGCTACAATTTCTCGATAAAAAATTACGCAATAAAGTTTAATATCTAGCATCGTTAGCTAGAGGCATCCAATTTTAAATACTTATCACATGCGCGCAATGCTTTTCGATAATTATAAAAAAAAAAATGGCGATCATTTCCTTCGAACTAACTACATTCATAAATATTAAAATACGATTTGATCTACAGGTTGTGACGAATGATGAAGGATGAAAAGATCAACATTTGGTGATCGGTACGAGTGCCAAATGACGAAAAGATCTACGGGTTGATGAGTCGAACTGAAAAATTGTATTATAGATATTATATTATATATTATATTATAAATATTAATATTATAGATATTAATATTAATATTAATATTAATATTAATATTATAAGGATCGTCTACTATATTCTGGTATTGCTATAAACGACGACAATTTCGTCAACAGCTATTTTGTTGACAAATTTGC